ATTGAAAATATGATTTATAAGTATGATGAATGTTGTGATGCATTGCTCAGGTTCATTTTAGACTATTGTATGTGGTTTGGGTGTGTTTATGGCTTTTGGTATGTGAGTTGGACACTTAATTTTGCATAAATTGGTGAAAAAGTAAAAATTTTGAAATGAGTATCTAACTCTTGTATAAGAAATAATTTGAACCATTAATTAAAGCTTGAAAAAAACTTTCTATAGACACCTAGATTGCATCAATTGGACATCGGACAGAGAATTAGGGCACATCAAAATTTTCTCCAATTGCTATCAAATTGACAGTAGAATTCTGTTGTCGTCAGACGTGCAATACACCTTGGCGCATTGTTCAACAAGCCGCAACGTATGGTACAATGGCTCATAAGCCATGTACGAGTTTAATAAGCCGTGGCACACGCCTCTGATTCTGTAAAATTTCATTGTTTTCTAGTTTTAAGCAAATATAATGATTCTTTTAATAATCCCATGCTTCCATATAGCTAATAAACTCTGACTTTTCATTTGTAAAACCTTTTGAGGTTTTTTAAAACATTGAAAACTTAAGATCTAATTTATATAATCCAATTGTGGATTTTGACAACTTGTCATTTACTTGATGTAATCTCTTTAGCAATGGAGATTTAGGGTTAATTAGGGAATAGTAAGAGAGATTTTACAACTCTCATCACGTAAATCCAAATCACGTAATTTCCACTTCCAGCGAGAGGTTGTGTGATGAGCGACATGATTTGGGTATCAGATGGATGAACAAAGAGAGGATGCGAGGCATCGAGCGTTAATGCTGATGTGTTCTGGTCATACGACACAATTGATTTGGTTTGCCTACATTGCTTTCATCATCACCAACCATTTCTCATGGAAGATTGATTGGAGTAATTAGTAAAGATGAGTGTTAAGATTCTTGGTGATGTGGAAGGTTTTCTTGTGGCAAGATGAAATGGAGAAGAGAGAAAGAAAGTCGATGGAAACTAGGGCTTAAGGTTTCTTGGGTGGATGTGCTAAATGCATCATTTAGATGAAAATTGAAAAAGAGAGGAAGAGAGAGACCTACTCTTGATACCATGAAAAATATTATGGGCTAATCTGAATAATACATCTTTATTATTATCAACCAAAAAAAAAATACAATAGATGGATTGGCTATTTATAGTGCATTATAAAGAGAAGAGAACAATATTCAAATTTTGTAACCCCTTCCCAGAAATATCAATCAGCACCAAATATCATCCATATATTCTTCAATTGCTGGATGTATTTAACATAAAGATTTAAATCAAAGATCCAAACAATATGATGACTAGTGAAGTGTGGGAATGAAATGAAAAGGATTACTACTGGTAATTAGGATAGGTCAGACTTATTTAAGCCGGACTCAATTTAGGTTGGATTTAAATATACTACTCTTTTAAAAAAGCTTGTATAATCAAGACTGACCATAACTTTTTTCAAGCGGGCTCGAGCTAGCCCATCAGACATGGTTTAAATCACCTTCTTTACATACATTTAAAGTTAATAATTCTGACAATCAGGCTTATTCGAGTCAGGCTCAATTTGAGCTGGTCTTATTCGGATAAGGCTTAGAATATCATACCTTTTTTTTAAAAAGCCCACATGATCAAGCCCGACCCTAACTTTTTTCAAGTGGTTCGGGTTAGCCTATCAAGTTTGACCCAAATTATTAGCGCTATTTCTACATTAATAACTAACTCACAATAAAACATATGTTGTTGAATTGTCCAAACAAAAAAATTGTACTGTTTCGTCTGCTTTTATTTTTCTAGTTTGTGTTATGAAGATATGAGAATAACCACTTGCAACTTTCAGACATTATAGATTACGACTAGTTGATTTCACGTTACCATATCTAACTGATAAAACAAAGTTAACCATCTTATTAATCTTCATAAAAGCAAAGTTTCTATTCAACTTAAATGATTTCTAGCAACAATTTGATTCTGCTCTCTGATATTAGACTATAAAAGCAAACTAAGAACTCTATGTTTGTATTCTCGTGTCAAGTGATTGCCTCAGCCTTCAGCAATATTGTCAGCTCTTGAATACCTCCAAATGCTGGGCACAGTATACGGAGACTTGAAGTCTTGGTCAGTGACGAAGGCCAATTATTATTATTATTTGGATTATTCTCCTAAGTAAAGACGATAATTAAGCATCACATAAAAAGATTAATATTAGATCATGATTTTTCCCAAAAAAAAAAAAAGTTCCAGCATTGAAACATAAAAGAATAAATACTGAATTTAAAAATTTAAGTTATGATGAAATATTTAGTATTAAACATTAATATTCTTGTGAAATCCTTTATTGGTATTTTTCCCATTTTTGGGCCGCATTTTCCATGGATATTATTATCAGAGAGAATGACAATAAGGACCTTCTAAGAACATTAATTCCAATTATAAACCATGAAATTTTGAAATCTCAGTTAAGGATCATGGTCCTTAATTGTGATAAAAAATGTAGTTTGTGAGGTGGAATTCATTATTACTACTTGAGACATTCATTAACCCAATTTAAGAAAATTTATAACGTATATTGTTAAAATATGAAACCCACTTGGAAATCAATTATTTAACAAAAAGCGCCACTTGAGAACTCACTAAATCGACTTAAAAAAATTTCTAACATATATTTTGAAAACATGAAACTCCACTTGAGAATTGATTGTTTAATAAAAAATAGTGAATTCTCAAGTCACGTTAGTGAATCTCACCTTACAAACTATATTTTTTTTTATCACAATTAAGGACCATGATTCTTAATTGGGATTTCAAAATTTCACGATCCGTAATTAAGATTAATATTCTTAGAAGGTCCTTAATTATTATTCTCCCTTATTATTATTATTCAGCTATTTAATGTTGAGCGTAGAGGGGATAAAAGAGAAAATTGTTTGTTTAAATCTTAAATATTTCTCCTATGTTGTTTCTTGATAAAGGCGCACTTTTATTCTTGAAATATTTTATGAATAGCACTCAACACCATAATATTTTTATTAAAATAATTTTTCCTTTAATGTTATCAAAATATAGTATTTTTATCCTTTTCGTTAAATTTTTTAACGGTCAATATGAGATCAATGTTAGAAATTTGACGAAAATGGCAAAAATGCTTCATTTTGATAACATTAAGGATAAAATTGCTTTAATAAAAACATTAGGGTGTTGGGTGCTCCTCGAAAAATTTCAAAAATAAAAATACACATTTATAGTTATTTCATTTAGTTTGATTTATAAGTCATTTTTAATATTTTTATTAAAACAAAAAAATTTTAAATTTTATTAACTCTATGTAAAAATTTAATAAATTTTAACTTTCTTCTTGTTAAATCTATAAATAAGGCTAAAGGAATATATTTTTGCCACATTTTCCTTTAATGTTTTTATTTAGTTTTCTGATTATTAGCATCCAGTGTCACTATTTATTCTTTCCTTCATTTCAAATTATAAGATAATTTGAGATAAGATTATACATGTTAATAAAACATAATAATGACATTTTATAAACTTACTTAGTTACTTTTTTAAATAAAAAATATAAACTTTTAAAAATACCCTTACATATTTAATCATCACGCTACAATATCATTTTAATTTTTTCTCTATTTAAAAAGTTAATATTAAAAAGTATTATTAATAAACCTTATTTTTTTTTAAATTGTCTCATAGTTTGGGATAAAAAAAAATTTTAAACTTTATCCTATAATTCGAGATCGAGGGTGTACCTTCTAATCTAATATACTAACTAGTCAATAATAGATGGATAATATATATTTCCTCCAAATTACAACATTGTTCATTTTTTGAAAGTTTACTTAGTCTAAAATGTATGATATTTGATAATTTTTTATACATTTTTTCAATTACTCAGGTAATTAATTAGGTGTTTTAAATAAATCAATTATTATATTTAGGAAAAATCACCATAAAATCCCCACAACCTTTTAAAATATTCAAATGTCCCATCAAATTTAAAAATATCTGCTGAATCTTAAAAATTAAGGAGTACTAAAAATTAAGGAGTAAATAAAATTGAAATAATAATGATCAAAATATTCATATTATGAGATGGGATATAGATAACTTGGCAATAACCTTTTACTATGAGGCAAGTGTATTGACAAGTGAGGCATCTATTAATGACAAGTATAAATTTATTAATTAAACAATAAATACCTCACTTGTTAATAGTTTTAGCCTTGTAAAAAATGATTGTTATCAAGTTATCAACCAAACATCTTATAATATGAGTTTTTTGATTATTATCATTTCAATTGCATTTATTCCTAAGTTATAAGAGACTGGATAATTATTTAAAAATTTCATTAAAATTTCAATATTTAAATAATTATGGGGCATTTTATGATAATTTTCTCTTATCTTTATTCCACCTTAGATATGAAAAGTTGTGAAATTTTTTATAAAATCAAAAGTTTAATAAATTAATTAATATTTCATTTAGAGGAAACATTTACTATATTTTTAGAGCCACTAATTTCGACAGGTCGGATTTATTCAAATTAGGTTCAATTTTGATCGACTTATTTAGATCAGACTTAAAATATCCTATCTTTTAAAAAAAATTATATAGTCAAGTCTGATCTTAATTTTTTTTAGCTGAATTAAGACTAGCTTATTGGGTCTAACAAAAATTACCAACTCTATATATATAAAGTTGAAAATTCTAATTATTGGATTCAATTAAATCAAGTTTAATTTAGGCTGAATTTATTTAAATTAAATTTAAAATATTCTACTTTTAAAAAAGTGCATATAATTAATTTTAATTTTAATTTTTTTTAAGCGAGTTTAAATTAATTCATTAAACTTGATTTAAATTATTAATTCTGTATTTGATTTGGAAGAGCACTCTTCAAGTAAAAACATAGATATAATACATAATATAACCAAAAAAATAACAACAAATATCACAAGCTTACTCAACTCCCCAGCCTCTAGTTACTGGTCGTCGTCTTCAGCTTGCCTGTTGCCGGAAACGTTTGAGCAAGCCTCGCTCCTTCACTCTCTCTCTCTCTCTCTCTCTCTCTCTCTCTCTCACATCACGCTTGGCCTTCCTCACTTCTTCCTTCCTTCATCAATGGCGGAGAAGCTCGCTGTGCCTCTTCTTCTTCCAAACCCACCACCCTCCAGACCCCTCTTTCCCAGTCATCCTCAGTTTCATCCCACGTCACCCACGCCTCCTCCAACACCGCCAATGACCCCTCTTTTCCAAGACCTCCTTTTGAACCATGATTCCACTTCTTCGCAACACCAGCACAATAATGCTCAATACCCAGACGAGCCAACCAGGACACGAAGGCGAAGCCGCATCGGCAAGTCCTTAGACCCCAACCGCGGCAAGCCTTGGTTGAATCATCGGCTTTCAGCTCAAGGTGCGCAGGTACTCCAAACCTTAACCGACCCATCATTTGATTTCAAGCAATTGGATGAAACGTTAAGTCAATCTTTAGGTTCTAGTGGGGACTCACTGTCTTCAGATATTTTGGGCATAATTAAGGGTTTAGGGTTTAACAATAAACTTGACTTGGCATTGAGTGTGTTTGAATGGGTTCGAAAAAGGGAAGATTATGTCACGCTCTTGACTGGTTCTGCAATTGCTGTTATTGTTAGCCTTCTTGGTAAAGCGGGTCGGGTTTCATCTGCTGCTGCTTTGCTTCACAGTCTGCAAGTAAATGGGGTTGAAATAGATGTTTATGCTTATACTTCTTTAATAACAGCTTATTCTAATAATGGGAGGTACAGGGAGGCTGTGATGGTATTCAACAAGATGGAAGAAGGGGGGTGTACACCTACTTTAATTACCTATAATGTGATTTTGAATGTTTATGGTAAAATGGGCATGCCTTGGAGTAAAGTTATAGCGCTTGTTGAGGGTATGAAAATAAACAGGGTTGCGCCGGATTTGTACACTTACAATACACTTATAAGCTGTTGTCGCCGGAATTCTTTGTACAAAGAAGCTGTTGAAGTTTTTGAGGAGATGAAGTTACATGGATTTACACCTGACAAGGTTACATACAATGCGTTATTGGATGTTTATGGTAAGTCCTGGCGGCCAAAGGAAGCCATGGAGGTTCTGAAAGAGATGGAGAGTAATGGATTTCCCCCAACCATTGTAACTTACAATTCATTGATATCTGCTTGTGCTAAAGGTGGGTTGTTGCAGGAAGCAACACTGCTTAAAAACCAAATGATGGAGAAAGGAATCAAACCTGATGTTTTCACCTATACCACCCTTTTATCTGGATTTGAGAAGGCTGGAAAAGATGATTTTGCAATGGAAGTACTTAAAGAAATGACGGCAATGGGTTGTAAACCTAATATTTGTACATTTAATGCCCTTATTAAGATGTATGGTAACCGGGGAAAGTTTGAAGAAATGATGAAGGTTTTCGAAGAGATCAAGTTGTGCAAATGTACCCCTGATATTGTTACTTGGAACACACTTTTAGCTGTATTTGGGCAGAATGGAATGGATTCTGAGGTATCAGGGGTTTTTAAAGAAATGAAGAGAGCAGGATTTGTTCCAGAGAGGGACACCTTCAACACCTTGATCGGTGCATACAGCAGGTGTGGTTCCTTTGACCAAGCAATGGCCGTTTACAAGAGAATGTTGGAAGCTGGAGTGACTCCTGACCTTTCTACCTATAATGCTGTTTTGGCAGCGTTGGCACGAGGAGGGCTTTGGGAACAGTCGGAGAAAGTCCTTGCAGAAATGAAGGGTGGTCGGTGTAAACCTAATGAGTTATCATACTCTTCTTTGCTTCATGCATATGCCAATGGTAAGGAGATTGAGAAGATGAAAGCTCTTGCGGAGGAGATATATTGTGGTTCAGTTGAAACGCATACTGTGCTTTTGAAGACCCTTGTTCTAGTAAATAGCAAGAGTGACCTCCTGATGGAAACAGAGCGCGCTTTCTTGGAGTTACGGAGAAGAGAGGTTTCACCTGACATAACTACTCTTAATGCAATGCTATCAATATATGGGAGGAAGCAGTTGGTGGCCAAAACCAATGAAATTTTGAACTTCATGCGTGAGACTGGATTTACTCCAAGCTTGACCACTTATAACAGTTTGATGTATATGTATAGCCGTTCGGGGAATTTCCAAAAATCAGAAGAAATCTTGAGGGAAATTCTGGGGAAAGGAATCAAGCCTGATATAATTTCTTACAATACAGTTATTTATGCATACTGTAGAAACGGTAGGATGGGGGAGGCTTCACGGATATTATCTGAAATGAAAGATAATGGCCTTGTTCCTGATGTTGTCACGTACAACACTTTTGTTTCAACTTATGCTGCTAACTCAATGTTTGTGGAGGCTATTGATGTCGTTCGATACATGATCAAGCTGGGGTGTAGGCCAAACCAGAGTACTTACAACTCTATAGTTGATGGGTATCGTAAGCTGAATCGACAGGATGAAGCAGACGATTTTGTTAAGAATCTCACGGACCTTGATCCTCACATTTCGAAGGATGAAGAAGGCAGGTTGTTGGGGCGGATAGGAAGAAAATGGTTATAACTTGTTCCATGATTCTCATGGTGCTTCACGGGAATGCTTCTGTAGCTGCTAGTGATGACATCCTCTTCCATGTTGTGTAACATTCGGGTGCGAAGGTAATCCTGAACTTGGTCCGAAGGCCACAAATTATTGGTTTATGTTGTCCAGTAAGGACATAACATGTAGAGAGATTTTTTTTTCTTGAAAAAAGGGAAAATACAACAATACGTTCCTATAATTTGATTGTGTGTGTGTGTTTTTTTTTTTTTTTAGTATCTATAGTTTTTATTTCATTATTCCCAGTTCCTTTAGTTTGATCCATCCACAATGTTAGTCCCTATAGTTTTAAAAAAGCGCATAAGGATCATGAGTGAGCTGACATTGACAGTTTATTTTGCTTACACGAACTGAACTCTATTAACCTTTACGTTGATGTATACTTAATCTCACCATCTCCCACGTTCCAAATATAAAAGAGCTTTTTACTTATGTGTATTTTCAATTATACCTTGTATTTTTACTATGTCAGTAAAAGGGTTAAGAGAGCTACTGTGGAATTATTTCCGTCAATGCTAGCTCATGGTTTTTATATGTATTTTTAAAACTATAGGGACTAACATTACAAATTGATCAAGCTAAAGGAGCTAAGAACTATGATAAAAAACTTTAGAAACTATGAACTATAAACAAAAAGTAATCAAAGTAAAGGATCTACTGTTGTGTTTTCTCTCAAAAAAACTATTTTGAGCTGTAAAAAATCTCGACTTGTGTTTTAATCAAGTAACTTAATAGCAAACGTGGAAGCTGCCCGGCTGCTCCTAAGCTTCCTCCTTGAGCTTATTGGTACTTTATCTGCGGGCGTAGAAAGAATCAGTAATAACTCTGATGTTGGATGCAGATATGGTGTGGATGTACATGAAATTTCAAAGGAAATGGTGTAGATGGTGAGAGGATGTTTTGATGATAAATAATATTGTATAATTTATTTATTTAGTAGCAATGAAATCAAAATTACTTGTGCAGTGAAGCAATTTTGCTTCCTCTGATAAGAAGGCTTCTGGTAATATTTTCTAGTTAATGTATCTAAACAGAAAAATATGATTTTGTATAATCTTGATATCGCTGATCTTTTTAGACCTGTGCTTTGAAATCTGTTATCCATGGATAATGTTTCAAAGAAGTATGGCTTACCTCTTTGAATGTCCAGCTAATTAGTGCATTTTTGCAGAGTGCTTTGCTGGAATATGAATTCAAGTTTATACTTGGAAAATAAGAGATTGGACTTGTCAAGCGGTCAAATAATTTATGAAGTTTGTTTGTTTGTTATTTATATTAAATAATTTAGTTACCTATCATCCATGTTAATTTTTAATTTGAAAGTATCATGATAAAAGAAAGAAAACAAGCAGTGAAGCAAACTAGCAAAGCATAATTTTTTTCTTTTTGTAAACAAGTAACATGATAAATAAAAAGTAGCTCTTTTACCTTTTTTTTCCTGTGTAAAACTTGAATTGAAGATTTTGCATAAAACATTGAATTATTTCCATATGGCCTGTTTGTCTCTTAACCTAAGTTTTAAGGGCATATTCCTTTCCCAAAAAAAAAAAAAAGGAGCCCATTGTTTTTAGGAAAAAAGGTAAAAATCTATAAATGTTTTAACATTAGTAGTAGTAGTAATAATAATTTATCATGTTAAAAAACTACTCCCTCTCTTAATTTATAAGGCATAAAACCAGGTGTGCTACTAAGGTTTATTAAACACACTTGATAATTTTATTTTTCTGAAAACAAACTTATAAAAGTTTAAGAATGCCTTTTATTTAATATTCTGTTTGCCAAAAAAAAACAGAAAGAATATATGTGAGGGATAATATTAAAAAAGTATCATTAATAAAATTTTATTTTTGTTTAAGTGTTTAATGCATTGAGATGTTAATTTTTTTTTGATACCATGAAAAAATTTGGGATATTAAATTTTTTTAGAAGTGTCTTATAATTTAAAATGGAAAGAATATAAAGTATTTTATTTTAAGTTTTTCAATATACAATTAATAACATTTTTTTAAAAAAGAAGTGATAACTATTAAATTAAAGTAAATATAGAACATGCAATTTTAATATGAGAAAATAATAATAAAATTTTTTTAAAATATATAAATGATAATTTAGTCTTTCAAAATACAATGATTTTTTTGAAATCTTTAAGAATTTTTCTGTCATTAATAAATTTATATAAATTATTAAATTAACTTTGTTAAAAATAAATAATTTATAAATTTTATTTAAATATTTATAATTTTTTTTTATATTTGCAATAATATAATAGTAAATTATAATTTTGCATGTTGCACATATAATTTTTAATTCGCTGTTACATTGTTGCGAATATAAAAAAAAATTGTGAATATTTAAATAAAATTTATAAATTATTTATTTTTAATAAAAATAATTTAATAATTTATATAAATTTATTAATAATAAAAAAGTTTTTATAAATTTTAAAAAAATTATGATATTTTAAAAGATTAAATTATCTAAGAGGGATTTTGTTACTATTTTTCCTTTTAATATTAACTTGCTGAAGAAGATATCTTGGTTAAAGTTACCTGCAATAACCACAAGCATTGTAGTTTTGGCCGTCAACGTGAACCACGCTCTAAAATTGCTAGCATGTGGCGGCAGCAAAACGGCGCAACAGCCAACTAGTACGCGGAATTCAAAATTGCGACTTGGTAAGTTGCAACTTTCAAGATAGAGTGGACCGAACGAGTGAAAGAGAGGCCATGTTCTTGTTGCATTCCACCGTCTCTGCTCTTCCGTCTCTGATCTCTTTCGTCTCATCAGGCGGTCATCGAAATCCTATTCTTCACCATCAACTTCCGCAACATCGTCTCAGAAACGCCAACGCTTCTACCTTCAAGATCACCTGTCTTGCAGCTCTATCATTCGATGACATCTCTCAATTGGCCCATAACAAGGTGCCCCATATCGAGATTCAATCCTTAAATGCTTTACATATTATGGGTTTCTCTCAATTTTCACGTTTTATCAGTCCCACTCTTTTTGTTTTTTCAATCTTATTTTTGTTGCTGAAATGATTTTGTATCTGCTACGAAGGTTCTGATTGCAGCTGGTGCTTCTGCGGCGATTGGGCAGATTTCGAAGCCCTTTACTTCTGTGCTTCTATATGGGAAAGAGTTTGATATCAAGGCGGTCATTCAGGCCGGAGGATTTCCATCAACCCATTCGTCTGTATGACCTTGAACCCCTGTCCTCTGGATTAGAGATAATTATGTAATAAGTAGTTAAGAAACAAAATATAGGGGAGATTTTTTGATTGGAATGTTGAAATCTTAAAGAATAAGTCTCTGAAATGTTGCGTAACTAGTTTTATTTCTAAACAAATTAATGAATGGATGAACTAGTTCTTGTAATAAGAAACTTGGTAAATGTTTTCAATCTCTTTGAATTGCTTAACAAAATGACTTAGGTGAAAGTAGGGATGTTTGCTACTGTCTTTTTCTCCCTAGCCCTGCTCTTTGTTTTCTGCGTTCTCCTACGATTTTTTGATGAGCAGTATGGAAATGAGTGTAAAGGAAAATAAGATGAAAAAGTTTTATGAATGAAAAACAATTTTGTCCTTAAATGAAAACAGTAATAGAACTGTTATTGATGAGTACTAATAATAAGGCTGTGATATATATTGCATATCTTGCTTTTTGTATAAAGGAAAGGGAATCTCTTTCCCTCATGCCCCATTTGGATGTATTAAAGAGAAGATATTTCCTTTTTCTTGCACAAACATTGAAATATACAATATTTATTGTACTTTGGTTATTGTTACTCAACAATAATAATTCCTTTTGTTACTTTTTTTGTTTTTAAAAAAAATCTAGGAGCACGAGAAATATTTTTTCCCAAGCAAATGATGATTTTTCATTCCAGTCCTATTTTATTCCATTCCATGTACCAAACGAGCCCTAACTTGCCAAATGGAGTCGGAACTCTTAAAAGGCAGCTTAGCTCGGAATCAGGCTAAAGCTTTGGTTATGCTGGATTCTGGCCCATGGCTGACTGAAGGATCTTTTGTGTAACTCTCTTTGGAGAGGGAAGGCCGGCTCAAAGCTTTGAAAATTCACTTTTCTCAAGTGATCCTAGTCCTAAAAGACTAATACTGACTGAAAGGACTGAGGTTAAATGGGCATAACAAATCAATAATCTTATTATTAGTTTACCCAAACAGGTATATACTTGTCATATTTCTTGATAGAAAACTTCGATAGCAAAAACCTAGTAAAAATTGGACCTGAGTTTTGTTGTTATCCAATTGTTATCCACGTCACTTGAATGGTTTATTATAAATAACCCTGTTGGGGCTTTGGGTTTCAGAGTCAATCTCACAAAGTTATTTGCATTTTCCTGTGGATAGGCAACAGTGGCTTCTGCAACATTCCTTGGTCTTGAGAGGTAAGAAGATTGATTATGTTGTGCCAGCTAGGTGTTTGGTTCATTGAAAATTCCTCTGTTTAATGTATTCTCTTGAACTTCAAGAATCAAGCATAAAATTGTCTAGGGGAGTTTCTTTTATTGGGGTTTATTTGTAAGCATATAATTTTGAAATGCAGAGGCTTCTCCGATCCCATTTTTGGTTTATCAGTTGTGTATGCTGGCCTCATTATGTATGATGCTCAGGTATGGTATTCTTTTGTCAAATTCTTGTCAGATTCTTGTGTATTGACATTATTGACATAGGACTTGAGTATTTGAGTTTCCTTGTTTGATATATACCAATGAGCGATCAAACTATTTGATGTAAATTTCTGACTGAGATGGTGCAAATGATCACATTTCAATAGGATTTCCTTTTGTAACTTTATTCTCTTTACGCAGATGCTATATGTTTACGGACATTGCTGGGTAAACATTTACACCATGAATTCTCTCTATCTTTTGAGCTTCTGTGATGTGATAGATCATAGATTTGAGAGCTATACCCCTTATTTATGTACTTTGACCTTCGAGCTCAAAACTTGTTTTCTTTGGAGGGATTTCACCATATAATGGACTTAAAGTACAAGGAAAACTCCATGTTGAGCAGATAGGATTTGATAAAAAATAAAAAAAAAACAAAAATCTCTGTTCTTGAAAGATTAGAATTTGGGGCATTATTCCTTCAATATGCTGTGCCAGAAATGTTGTATTTGGATTCCAGCTTGATAAGAAAAAAAGTGAACTTTTGTTCAAGTTTTGAAGGATGTGATTTGATTGAAACTTTTAAATCTGGTTCAGATGAATCTTTCTTTCCAAGACAGTTTCTGTTGGCCGAACTGATACCATGGAAATTGAGGGGGTGTCATATAATATTAATCGGTTGATGCTGCTTTTGTGGGAAATGAAAAAAAATTGCACCATGTCTTGCTTTGGGGTTATTTTGTCGTTGATTATTTCAAGGGTCCTATTGGTTATGCCTAAAAATGATATGGTTTTTAAGGGTGAACCGTGCTTTCATTGGTAATAAAGGATCAGTCATTTTCCATCCATGTCTTTTTTTTCTTTTCTTTTCTTTTTTTTTTTTTCCATGTCCATTTTGTGGAAAAAGGTTGTTTGAAGGAAAGTAGTTTTCTTTGGCTGCTTTGAAGGGAACATGGTTCAATGTTTCATTTAAATCAGTCTTTTTGTTTAGGATGTATTTAACCTCATTATTCCCCTCACTGAAACAAAACACTGTTTTCAGGCCACTATTTAGGTCCTGCAGGAAGAATGCTTCTTTGCAGCTCATTGTTGTAATGGTTTGAAGCTGAATAATAGGCGTCTATGTCAAATTTTATTTGAAAAAAGTTTCTTTACATCTAGAACCTTTCTTGTTTAAACCCAAGTAATTCGTTTAGTGATAGGCTAGTAGAAGCGAGTATCTGACATGTGATTGATTAGATGTACTTTCTCTGTTTTGAACCTTAGCCGTGCCAATGGCTTAGTACCATAATGCAAGAAAATTTCCTGTGAAATACCCAGCCATGACATTGGTACTCTAGACTGGAGGGGTAAATCAATTGAAGTTCACGCAAGCTGGCTCAGACACCACTTAACCAAAACATAGAAACAAAAGAACAAAAATGCTAATGACTCCTTGTTTTATTTATAGGGTAGAGGGAGAATATTTGTTTTGGTCCTATTCATAAGGCACCTCTAATTTTTGTGTCCACCTTTATACTTTTGTCCCCATTGGAGGCAGAAAATTATTAAATGCTGGAGTATTTTATTTTTAAAGTATGTATATTTAATAAGGGGAGAGTTGAAAACTTGTTAAACTTTTTAGACAAAGTTAATTAAGTTTAAAGTTTTTATTGATTTTAGTGAAACATGTTGAGAGGAACTTATAAACAAAGTAGTGCCATATCCTGTATGTGTCATGCTTGCATTAGACAAGACGTTGCATTTAAAAAATTGAAGCAATGCATATTTTATCATGTGTTGGTGTCCTCATCATGCATTTCTCGTATCCATATAAATGTTTGTGGTTCTTGGAATGTTGAGTGCTGTTGTGATTTGCAGGGTGTAAGAAGAGAAGTGGGGAATCATGCCAAAGTATTGAACAAACTACTCCAGATGCTAGAAAATTCTGTAGATTCCAAAGATAGAGATGATAGGTTGATCAATTCCCAGCTAGGAACATCAACTTCTTTGAATGTAAAAAGCTTAGAGAAGTCCCTTCTTTCCCCAGAAGCCAATTCCTCAGAAACACAACTGAGAAATGCATCAGTGTTGGTCAAATCTGACAGTAAAAGAGAGAAAACCAGTGAGGAGCTATCATCATCAGGCTTTTCAACAGATGCAGAAGAACTCTCAAAGTTGGCAGCAAATGGTCTATTCCCATTAAAAGTATCGATAGGCCACACTGAGGTTGAAGTTATTGCTGGTGCACTATTGGGTTTCTTGGTTGGCCTTGCCGTGTATAATTTCTTGTGATGTCCATTTTCTTCTTCGCTTACTGTAGATTTGAAACATCACATTTCATGCTACAGAACTCATGTACAGAGTTGACATATATCAGCAAGAACGCAAAAAAAAAAAAAAAAAAAATTTAGGTCCCCAGAAGCCTCTCTATCTCACAAAATCTGCCAAAATGGGATTACTCAATAATACCATGTTTGGCATTTGTATAATAAAATTAATTACTAAATCTCCCGTCAAGCTCACCACCCTCTCTTAAGTCTGAACGGAGAAGTTAATCATGTCTAATTTATCAATATAATCTTCAAAAATATGTCTTGAAAACCTTTTGAGAAGAATGTCTGTTGTTTGCTCTAAAATATATGTCAAGCAAGTTATCCCTTTTGCGACTATATTTTCGGGGGAAAAAAAAAACATCTGTTTGATAAGGTATTTTTAGTCGGGAAAGTGTAATAGAAAACAAAAAAACTGAATTCTGTAAAAGAGAATAAAAAGCATAAACATGTTTAGGGTGTTTCTGAATTATTGTTTCAGGGAACAAGAAAGAGGAGAAAAATAAAACAAGGAATAAAAGCCAAGCTTGGCTGATCGCTCATTCAAGGTCATTTTTATAAGAGTTTGAACATGAATTTCTTTTTTAAAAAAAAAAACCTGAACTTTAAAACTTGATCTTAAAAAAGGGGTTCAAGTAAACTTTTTAAACTCATTTTTATTTTACTCCTAAAAGATAATCAATTTTTAAATTAAATTTATATTGTAGATTATATGTTTATATTTTAAAATTAAATTTTTTATAATTTATTTTTAATTTTTTAATATTATAATTTTGTGGTTTTTAAAAAAATATGAAATATCATAATTATAAATTTTAATTTTTAAAATTTAAAAAAATAAAAAAATACTAAATAATAAAAAATAAAACTATAAAAATTTAAAAAATAAGTGTCACTCAAATTTTTTAAAATCATAAAAATCAAAAATATTAAAAATTATAAAAATTAAAAGTAAAAGTTGATAAAATTGTAATGCTCAATGGTTATGTTTTTTTTTTTTAAAAAAAATGAACAATAATAAGAAAGGATTTACGGGGCCTGAGCGCTGCCTGGGAGCCGGGTTTCATCTAACTTTTGCCAACCTACTGCCTCAATTCCTCATCGTGCTTTAGACGGCTTTCATCCACTTCGTGCGTCCGAGTTCCGTCCGTCTGAGAGAGCCACTGCCTACTTCATTCTTCTTCGCCTGAGAGAACCCGGCTCGTCGACTTCGTGCTCGTGAGCCAGGTGCGTCCTTTATGCTTTCCTTCTTCGTTCTGTTCTGGTTCTTCGTTCTCTCTCTCTCTCTCTCTCCCCTTTTTAGATTGAGCGTTCTGCTTGCTCTGCCCTGTTATCTTTCTGCTGCTTTGACTCTGTTCTCTTGTTTTTTTCCTCTAAGTTTCTTCATGTGTTCTGCTCACGCTGTTCACTACCTGAAAGCCTTGCTACTTTCGTAATTTGTTTGCGTTTTTCTCAATCCCCAATTACCTGCATCATATATGGGCCTTCGTCAATTTGATCGTATTCATTGATTAGATGAGTGAATCTGCAGAAGTATTATGGTCAACGTATATCCATATACAGAAGTAGCCATTGTTTACCATGCGTTGTAGGTTTGTTTTCGAGCTATTTTTATGGTTCTATTTGACGATGCCTGCAAATTTAAGAAATGTTGGATTTTTATTCTGGTTAACTAACTAGAGTGAATTAATGGAGAGAGTTATCGCTCAGCCCGCCACTGTTCTTGCTTAGTGAATAGGTTTACTTGAAAAGACAGACTTCTAGTAGTCCTAGATGATTCGCCTGCAACTTAGTGAATAGATTTATCCTGGTTTAGCACTTAATCGAAGGAAAAATATTAAATCTTGTCTCGGTAGCTCTTCCTTTGTAGGGGTAAACATATATTTTTTGGAAGTAGGTACTTGGTAGCTTTTTTTTTTTTTTTTTTTGGGAAGCTTTGGTTGCTGTTTGATTGACATTTGAATTCTCATTATACACTTTTTTTTTTGGGTACGGTCCTAGAGGCTATAGAGATAAGTAACAGGACCATAATTTTTTTTTCTCAAACATGTGCTGAAAACAATTGTTTTATATTTTCTGTTTTTAAATATAATCTTTTAGAATATTCAAACAAGTTTTTTTTTTTTTTTTTGGTTCTCATAACATGTTCTGTGAACAGCAGTCCGCAGAACATATTCTAAGATATGATGTTTGACTTATCTACAATAAAATACTCTTTAATCTTGTGTATATCAATGCCTCGTTCAATTGCTAAATGGATTTAAGTATCACTTCACCAAATAAAAATCATTTTGACTGAAGAAGTTAGTTTTAGTTAAGGGAAAATTATGTATAAGTCCTGTACAAGAGACTTATCTTCAAATAAGTTCTACGAAATCTAGAAACTATAATCAAGTTCCTTGGACCTGAGTGTAATTTAAGAGAGATGTAGAAAGACAATATTACCTTTACTTGTTAGGTTACAATGACAAAGATACCCTTTAGGTTTTCTTGCTCCTTTGTATTCCTTCTCCTTCCACGTTTATCTGCATCCCTTCTCCACAGAGCAATGGTGCGAACCCTTAGGCCATTTCTTTCATCTGCATCCCTTCGCCAACGTGTTCATCTACTTGCTGCGTTGTCATCTTCATATGCTTCCCTTTACAGTGCCGTCACCTTCTCTCATTGTCTTTGCTTCATTGCCCTAGAGGTTTTTCTCAACTCTACTCACTTGCATTCTTACTCTGTAATGTGGAGCTTTACTTTCTGTGTTGTTTCTGAATACTGCTGAGAAAATTAAGCATGTAAAAGACATATTTAGGCATCTTCTGTAGCGTCTATCTTTCTTATTAATTTAAAACTTTAGTGTACTTCATTCAAGTATTTGAATGAGTCCATATAGATCTAATGCTTTTCTTTCTCCATGAATTATATTGAATTCCAATTTTTACCCACTCTAATTTGTCCCAATTATTCTGGCTATTTTCATTACTATTTTTTTTTTAATTGAAGACTGATTTTAGCAGTTCCTCATTCAGTTAACAAGAAGATAGCATATCATCTCCTCACATTTGTCTCATCAATTTGAGTAAGAAGATGGGATCTCTTGACGGGATGAACAATATTTGTATTGATTATGATTACAATTTGTGTTGCCCTCCGTGCAATATCTTTCTTGTAGCAATCAGTAGAAGAAGATAAGGAGCATAGCAAGAATGTTCCTAGTTTAAAATGTCTAATTTTTTGAATACGTTTAGTTTGGGGAGACTAGAGAGAGTCATTTTTAGAGTCAATTTTGTCTTGAGCAGAAGCTTTTAAGAGAAGAAAAGAAGTTGTTTCAAGAGTTCCTGCTAATGGTAGAATAGTAATCATCAAATGAGTTAATTTGGGAATGTCAATGCAAAATTGTATGTGTTCCTTGATTAATTTTTGGAATCACTTTTTCTCTACCTGTTCCTTTAGAGCGTTGCATAGGTACCTCACTGGTTGCTGGCTTACTGCTTTTCTGAAATTCTAGAGCTTCATGTGACTGTTGACATAGTATCTCCCTATGCTCTGTTGTTGAGATCATAGACTAAATCCCACACCATATCAACATGGAAATGAGCCATTGCAACATAGGTTGAAATGCAAATAAATACTTGTGTAAAATGATATATGAACTTGTATTGACAGTGAGATATAATGACCTTTTCAACCAGAGGCATTAACATGCCCTTCCACTCAAGTAGTTTTTTGTTTTCCTATCATTGAAGCCGCATTACTAAATGCAAGCCATAATCTATTGGAATGATAAAATGAATCTAACTAGGTAAACAGCGCCAACACTTGTAAATTTGAAATATTCACTCCTACTCAGTATTACTTGCAATTACACATATGATATAATTAGATTTTAATCTACAGTCACAACACAAATAGGGGGCCACTATTTAGAAATACAAACATGAGTTTTTAATTTTTATACCTGTCAAAAACAAGTAAAAGTTGTGTCACAATTTCTCAACAACATTAGCACTGTCTCCTTAAATATTTACAATCATCTCATCAACTATTTATAACTACCTCATCAATTGTTCAACTATGAACCACTAACTTTAACGTATCATTTTCACATGTCAAGTTCACATATTTACAATGGAAAATTCAATAATTCACAACTGAAAGTTAAAGACTTCATGTTTACATCCATCTTATCAACTATTTACAGCTATCTCTTTATATATTCAACAATAAACTTTCAAATTCAACCTCCCACATAAGCATCTTATTTTTACACATCAAAATCACATGTTTACACCCAAAAATTCAAGAATTTACAATCAGAAATTCAAATCTTAATGTTCATGAATTACATGGAACATTGGTAGACCTCAAATGCCATTCCAATATTGCACAAACTGTCAAATCATCACAACAGATAGTGCAATTTCTGATCTACCATTTATATTATTTTAGAAACTCAAACAAGGTAGATGAGAATAATCAGAATAGAATAACAATGAAATAAGATGAAATTCGAGGGGCTAAGTAATCTAGAAAAATGCAATAAGCTAAAATCTCCTTCATTCAAGCAAACCCCAACAAGAATATGGCATAAAATCGAAATCAGTGGATGAAAACCCAAATATTCCATAATACATACCTGAATAACATTTACTAGCTGTGAACACATACATGAGACGGGGGGAGAAGACAGGATGGGAAGGAAGATGAAAGACGAAAGATTGAAGATATGCCTAAACTAGCACAAACAGAAAACAATGATGAAGATGTCCCTAAATGAGGAAGACGAACAACTAGGAAGGCAAACAATGAAGAAGACATCCCTGAATGAGAAAGATGGAGATTGTTGCATCTAAGATGGGAAGGACATTGATGGCAAAGAGATCTTGACTTTGATTGCATGGTACTTCGCTTTGGTGGTTTCGAACGACAAGTGTGTTTAGGGCTTTGGCTTTTTTTTTTTTGGTGGTTCTACGTTGATTTCATTTTCTCAAGCAAGGATAGTGTGGTCTTTTTCCACATTTGACAAATTACAGTCAAGTCCAAGGGATTGGGTTGTAGTTTCTAAATTTCATGCCCTTATATGGGACCTATATGTAATTTTCCCCTTTTTTTTCTTACTAGATTTGGCGAATGAGTGAACTTTTAAATTTGGTAGGAAGTGGGATGTGGTGATTAAAGGTTTTCTAGTTGATTTTGGAGTCACTTGATAGAGTGGAAATTTGTTTTATGCTTGATTTTCAACTTTTCCTCGGCTACTACTAACTATTTGCTTTTTCATAATTTTGCAGCTTGAGAGAGGGGGTCTTCAATTGACTGTTCTAAAAAAAATTCCCATTAGCCCTAGCTTTTGGCGATCTCAGCTCCATTTGCACAGTGAGTCATTCTGAAGGGGAGAGGATTCTATGGCAGGCCAAGATAACGTCAAGCATCTTGAAGACTGCTCCGTTTCCAAGTTAATTTTTTTATCTCCCCTTTTTTATTTTGGTTTTTTAAAATGATTTATTTAATCACCTTGCTTCCATGGTTTTGAAATCTATAACGTGAGGTACTCATCTTAATTGATTAGCTAGTTGAAAATGATCAGTTCATTGTGAGGGTAAAGATACAAGTACTTGCCTTTGCACCAGGAACAAGGAAATAAGGGGCTTGCATATGTCATAAGGAGATTAGGTTCTGATTGTATCTTAAAATGGATAGATTATTCAATGAATATGTCAAACTGGTCTAGCCACAAGTTCTACTTATAATCTAGTTTTGTTTTGCCGATGGTATGTGCTGGCAGATGATTAGTTCCCTTAAAATCCCGAATCCGTTATTGTCAATGAGTAGCCAGCTTTCTTTGTTCTTTTGATGATTGTAAATGTCATCTGTAGTTGTGAAGTCATTATTGTTTTTGGTTTAGGTATCTTAGGCAGACAAGATTTATTTATGAGTAGTTTACTGCCTAAACATTACATGAGTTGCTTGATACTGCATAATGTAGATCCTCCTATGAAATTCAAAGGATAACTGCATAAGATTTGACATGTCTCATTCCTGAGCTCTCATTGTATGATAAATTCATTTCACTCAAAGGAGGCGCCCTTCATTTCATGAAATCCCTACATGAGTTGAAAGTTCAGTTTATGAAATGCCGGTCATATTTTAGTTTTAAGCATATATCACAATGCTTGTGGTCATGAGTAATCCTTTATTGCGAAATGGCATGTACTAAGCACTAGGATTAACCCTAACCTTGGATGGATTACTTTGGTGCTCATGTAAGGATTGAATAAAGAATCCTGATATTCTTCAATAGTAGTTTTATTATCCTATTAGCTTCTTAACTCTCATCTTCTTTGCATGCTCTGTTTTAAGATTATGTGGCTTTCTTATTAAGTCTTTACAAAAAGTGGTGAAGTGGCAATGAATTAGAGCGAGGTTGGTGCCTCTTTTGAATAATCATCACCACTCCGTGTGTGTGCTTGTGTATTCATAATTCATCTACGAGCACCTATTGTGAAGGTTGTAATTGGAAAAAGGAGATAGAAAGAGAACCTATAGCTATACCTACGATTTCTGCTCCTAAAGCCCTATGACGGGAGCATAACGAGTTTAGTATCAGAGAAGTAGATGTTATAATCAGTTCAGGTTGATATGCATATGTCCAAAATTCTTTTGCTGCTGGACTACTTTGAAATTTGAGAGTTTTCATTGCAGTGCATTAGGCACTTGGGTGTTCTCAGTAGCAGGAGCATTGCTGGCAATTCCAGTAGGGATAAAGCGCAAGTCTCTGGCACCGCTTGTATTCTTTGGAACGACAGGCACTATGCTGGACATCATCATGGGAATTAGTCAATGCGAAAGGGAACATGCAGAGCGCCAAATGAAGCTACTTGAAGCTCAAGCAGCTGCAAATGACACGCCAACTGAAACTGAATCATGATATTCAGGTGTTCTTAGTATTGTCAACTTATATTTGTAGATGGGTGTAACAAACAAGCGTGCATTTTTTGGTCACTCGTTGCTCATGCTGGTGAATAAGAAAGGAAGGATTTCTTTGTTAGTTGATTCATGTCCCCTTCCATTTCGAAGAGGCTGGGTATATGATCTTTTTTTGTCCAGTGGGTAAGGTCTTTTCAACGGGAAGCATTAAGGAGAGGCTGATGTCACGAATTTTGATATTTAATTCCACCCTAATTTTCATTCCCTCCACTTGCTTATATTGCAACAACATTAAGTGAAAGATACAACTCAACGTTCCCATTCGCGGCTTCAGTTTTTCACCCCACCCTCATCCCAATTTTTCTGGGAATAAAAATCTCAATAATCTCAAACATCAAGGGCCATTGATTTGTTATTCTATCATCTTTCTATATTTACCTTAGCCTTGTTTTTAAAAGGCGTCTATTTGTCATGTTAAGAAAGCAACTTTATTGTTGATTATCTTGCCACTCTGAATCGTCGGCCTGGTTTCAATAGAATAAACTCCGCCTCTGGATGTTGTGACTCTTCTTTTAGCTGATTGTAATAATCCACCCCAACATTAGACTGGGTGTGCCTCTTGTTAAAAAAAATAGTGTATTGTTCGTGCACAAGGCTAAAAATTTAATGTTCTAAATCCATACTCTATACCCATGGATCGTCCACCAAGTTATTATCCCCAGTTTTGTAAACTCTCTTGCTAAGGAAAATATTCTTTTTCTCGATATCACCAAGATCCCTTGTGCTCGCTTTTAGAAAACGTTAACCGATAAATGCATTGACTATAGTGTTACAAGATGATGTTAGTTGAGATACTTGTGAAAGCGAAAAATTGTCTGTGTCTTCCAGCACTTTCCAATTTTTAGGCAGATGCCCTGTTTGCTGAGCATGTCACGATAAATATTATTCAGAACATACAAATCAAGGCAGCATGAGATGAAGCATAACAGACCAAAGTAGCATTAGTAATGAATGAAGCAAAGGAGCCAACTTTTAAAGAAAGAGTATTCATCATGTGAAAAACAAAACCCAAAATATTGATTAAACAGGCCTTACAAAAAAATAATTAGAGTAAAAATTTAAGTGAACAAGAAAAAGGTCACACTTAAAAAAAAGCTGTGACTTTGACATCCTGGAATGTCAAAATGATGTCTACTAACAAAACAAGACAATAAAAAGATTTTCAAGCCTTTAGAATCTAAGTTGTGCCTGTCCTGTTGAGCACAAAGAGCACTTGACATGCCAAATAACGAAGTATAAACACGAGACCAAAACACGCCACTTAACCTTGCATTTATTCTTCTTTCAGAGTTTCGTCACCTACTATTATCATGACTGGATACTTTCCGTAAATGTCCAACTTCTTCCTCCCAACAGCACATAATGCATGATAAATGCAATTGATGGAAGTATTATGTCTAAGATTACACATGTATTACAAGTTCATAAAACCTCATATATTCTTAACTTTTTCAAGAATCACAGACAGACAGAATAAGATAGATTAAGTGCACTAGACTATACAATAGGCCCGAATAGAGAAGAATCAGATTCTCAACTATAGACTTACTGAAAAACAAGGGGACTAAAGAGAAGAGATACATCATATCATGACTCGAGTCACTCGATGGCAAAACTATCAGTGGAACGAAAGGAAATGCTGCTTGAAAATCATATTGATTTACAGAAAAACAAACAAGAACGTGTCATGAATTAAAATCCTTGCCAACCGACCCCCTCGCAAAAAATAAAGAACTAAAGAAAAGAAATATACATGTGTGCGTATGTGCGCGCGCGTGTGAGCGCAATCAAAGATGAACCTTTAAAAAATATTATAATTTGCAACAACTTATGAGCAATGACATTATTGATAGGAGTTTATGTTACACATGTTAGGTTTTTTTTGTTTTTTTGTTTTTTAAATATATGGCCACAGCAAGCTGTGAAAAAAAATTAAAATTTAGTCATATTTAGAATCAAAAAGTTTTTACAAGCATGGAGGAAAACATCAAAAATTATAGTATCAAAATTATCATAAAATATTTGGTGAGCTAAACAATTAATACATCTATTTATATTTTTATAAATATGATTAAACATGATGGCTCAATTCTTCATTATAAGAGTTCTGACTTTTAAACCTACATATGTTAGGTTTAAACTGCTGCACCCACTTTATGACCTTCCCAAGCTTGTCCTTACTGGTTATCCCAACGCAACAGCCTGTCACCAAATCTTTTAAATCTGCATTGTAAAACATTATGTTGCACTCTATTTGTTTTTTCAACATTAAGAATATTCTTAATAAAAAAAAATGAATTGCAAACTCAATCATTGTAATTCTATGATTCAACTAGGAAAATCATGTTATAAAACTTGAATCTATTAAGCATGAAATTAAATCATATACAAGCACTTACAGACTTGCAGCAAAACCTAATGACTATTGCACAAATGGATAAAAGGCAACAATGCATCAAGTAATTAACTTTCTAACTATTAGCCATTCATGTGGGTCATTCTGACATGACAAGAAGCCGATAACAGAACAAGAACTTACCTTTTGAGATTGTTCCATTTAACTAGGGCTCAAGCTGAAGATGGCTTTAGCTCTGGGATGGTACGGTCCCCTTATAGATCTCTCGGAGGCATCTTCTCACATCGGTGATTTTGTTCAGCTTCTCCTCTTCGTTCATCGCTCCGCTCCGTTTCAGGTTTATGATTTCTCTATATCATTTCTCCCCTAGTTGTTCACGATTGGGCTATGGCTTACGATTCATTCTCATTTTGCAGTGGAGGTCGTCGAAAGGAAGGTCCATAATCAGGACAGACATTCAAGTCGGGGATGATACGAGGCAGTATTTTGGAGTATCTGTTTGGCAGAAGAGCATGGGATCCATGATATCAGTGGGAGATGTTATACTGTTACAAAGTAAGATTTGTTATTCATTTGACCATTTATGTTTTGAATTCAGGGGCCCTATTGCGTTAATTTATCTTACAATCTTACTTGAAACCAAAGCAAGGTATTACTGATAGCTATAGATGCTTATCAAGAAAATATAACCTCATTGTCATGTTCACACTTTGCATTGTCGCTTAATTTTTTCCTTACTGTTGATTTTTAAAATCTCAAACATACCTTTGAATTCAGGGGTCAAGGTTGTCAAAGAAACCCTCTGACAATGTAAATCTAGAGAAAAATTACGTTCTAGTTATATGTTCATATAGTAGTCCGAAACTTGTAGCTTTCATTTGACTTTCTTTGCCTATTTATGCTGTTCTATCACGTCCTTTTTTTAGGTCATATTTGGCCTTCAACTGAAAATATGAATAATTATTTTATAAATACAGATAATTATTTATTGTTATTCATAATTTTACTTTTGGCATATGGTAGATGTGAAGATCGTAAAATTTGGAGATATTGTTGAGGCCAGAACTGTTCAATGGTCGTCGCTGCTTTGTTTGATCCACCCTTACGAGTTACTTATCTCAAAAGGTATGTTCTTATTCTCTTGTCGGCTTCTTATCAGCTCAGAATGACCTATATGAATAACTGGCAGTTAGAAAGTTAATTACTTAATGTATTGTTGCCTTTTATCCATTTGTGCATTAGTCATTAGGTTTTGCTGTGAGTCTGGACGTGCTTGCATATGATTTAATTCCATGCTTAATAGATTCAAGTTTTATAACTTGATTTTCCTAGTTGAGTCATAGAATACAATAATTGAGTTTGCAGTACATTTTTATTTATTTAAAATTTTATTGATGTAGAAAAAAACAAATGGAGTGCAATATAATGTTTTACAATGCAGATATAGAAGAGTTGGTGGCAGGCTGTCGCGTTGGGATAACTAGTAAGGACAAACTTAGGAAGGTCATAAAGTGGGTGCAGCAGTCTAAGCCTAACATATGTAACATAAGCTCCTGTCAAGTAATGTCATTGCTTATACGTTGTTGCAATTTATTATATTTTTTTAAAGGTTTTTTCTTTGATTGCATACTTATACATACATATATATATGTATATACATGTATATTTCTTTTCTTTAGTTCCTTCTTTTTTGGAGGGGATCGGTTGACAAGGATTTTGATTCATGACATGTTCTTGTTTGTTTTTCTGTAAATCAATGTGATTTCCAAGCAGCATTACCTTTCGTTCCATTGATAGTTTTGCCATGGTGTGACTTGAGTCATGATATGATATGATGTATCTCTTCTCTTTAGTCCCCTTGTTTTTCATTAAGTCTATAGTTGAGATTTTGATTATTCTATTCAGGCCTATTGTATAGTCTAGTGCACTTAATTTATCTGTCTTATTCTATCTGTGATTCTTAAAAAGTTAAAAATAGATGAGGTTTTATGTGCTTGTAATACATGTGTACTCTTAGACATAATACTTCCATCAATTGCATTTGTCATGCATTATGTGCCCTTGGGAGGAAGAAATAGGACATTTACAGAAAGCAGCTAGTCATGATAATGGTGTGGACATGAAGTTTATCAAAGGGTGGCGAAACTCTGAAAAAAGAATAAATGTAGGTTTAATTCTAGGTATGATTCTGGTCTCCTTTCATGTCATATTGTAGGTTTAAGTGGTGTGTTTTGGCCTCGTGTTCATATTTTGTTATTTAGCATGTCAAGTGTTCTTTGTGCTCAACAGGACAGGCAGAACTTAGATTTTAAAGGCTTGAAAATCTTTTTATTGTTTTGTTTTGTTAGTGAACATTAATTTGACATTGCAGGACGTCAAAGTCACCCAGCTTTTTTTTTTTTTTTAACCTTTTCCTGGTTACTTAACTGTTTTTACTCTGATTATTTATCGGAGATAATCAATATTTTAGGTTTTGATTTCCACATGATGAATAATCTTTCTTCAAAAGTTGACTCCGTTGCTTCATTCATTTTACTAATGCTATTTTGGTCAGTATGCTTCATCTCATGCTGCCTTGATGTGTATGTTCTGAATAATATTTATTGTGATATGTTCAGCGAACAGGGCATCTGCCTAAAAACTGGAAAGTGCTGGAAGAGCGAATGCCTACAGACTGTTTTTCACTTTCAGAAGTATCTCAGCTAACATCATCTTGTAACGCTGTAGTTAGTGCATTTATCGGTGAAATTTTTCTACAAGTGAACACAATGGATCTTAGTGATATCCAGAAAGGGAAAATTTTCCTTAGCATAAGAGTCCACAAAACTGGGGATAACTTGGTGGAAGATCTCATATGCACTGGTTGTCAGTTATGTGGTTCACCCATGGGTACAGAGTATGGATTTCAAGCATTAAATTTTTAGCCTTGTAGCAGAAGCTACCACCATGGTTATCACGATCCATTGCTGTTTTTTTTTTTTTTCCCTAGGTATGATCAAAATGTTATTCCACTAAGTTGTTCAAAAAGCTCAAGCCGTCTTCATGCAGTATGTTTGATATACAGGCCTTTCATGGTAAAAGTTCTTTCATATTTCTTCATCTAATTGTCACCACTACTAAGTTAGTATTTAGGATTATGTCATTCGCTGCATTGAATTATTGTCAGCTTTAATCGTTATAAAGAGGCTTCTTGTCATTGTTTCAAATGCCTATACTTAGTTTTATTTTCGACAAATCAAACAAGTAATCTACTAGCGAAACAAATTTGTTTCGTCGAGCAAGCTCTTAAAATTTTGGATATTTTAAACTACATTCTTATTTGCTTATATTTTATGTTTCATAGTCACGAAAACATAATGTTATATATCTGATTATAAGACTTTTTTTTTCCTTATTTTCCATATTAGTCATACCAACTTATCCATTAGGGACACTTTTTGGCAGCTATATTTGTGGGATGAATCAGATTACATGCCAGTCCTCGTCAAGAACAGAGCTGCAGAAATCTTGTTTGGGAACATCAAGGCTGAAAAGGTCAGTTCAAGTTATAGACAACAAATGCTTGATAAACAACCTAAAAGAGGTGAATACAAGGGTAAAGATCCTACTGTCAGATTGGAAAATAACCTGAATGGTTCTGTGAAAGGACTTTCCAGTTCTTGTCCATCAAATGCTGAGAAAGGCTTACGAGTGGAAGGAAGGCATCGCGATGTTGTAAACTTCAACTCTTATCATATCTGGTTAATTTTTCTAAAATTGCTGCTTCAACAAGGAAAGAACATGCCTCTGAAATTTGAGATTGCTGTCGATTCCAGTTTAGATACAGAACATGGGAAGTTCGAAATGATTTCTGCATCAATGCCTTGCAACAGAACTATGTAAATACCCTGTATCAACTTTTGCTTGCTCAATTTTGCAACTTCTTACAAATTTAGTTTAAAAGGTTTGTAAGGCAAAATTTTTTCATCAATTAAAATCTGCTTCTTCATATATGGCTCCACCGTCTTCAGAAGATAACAATTAATGTTTGAGGTGCATGAACAGTCAGATGTGCAGACGCTTTTTTATAATGAGAGGCACACCCAGTCTAAAGCTGGGGTGGATTATTACAATCAACTAAAAGAAGAATAACAATATGCAAAGGCGGAAGTTTATTCTATTGAAACTAGGCCAACGATTTAGAGCAAGCTTGGCAAGATGGTTAGTCACAATGTTGCATTCTTACCATGATGAATAGACGCGTTTTAAATATAAGGCTAAAATAAATAGGGAGAATCACATTCAGTTCTTTTTTAGGGGAATTAATCACAAATAAGAACTGATAATAAGTTTTATTTGAAAAAAAAAAATCATATTCTCATTTAATAATAATTTATTTCGTATTAATCCTTATTTGTAATGAATTTCTTTGAGAGGAGTTAGATGTGATTTTTCCAAGTAAATATAGGACGATGATTGAATTACAAATCAATGGCCCTTAATGTTTGAGATTATTGAGATTCTTATTCCCAAAAAATTATGGCGAGCGTATGGTGAAAAACTAAAGCCGTGAATGGGAATGTCAAATTATCTTTCACTTTAAAGTTGTTGCAACCTAAGCATGTAGAGGGAATGAAAATAAGGGTGAAATTAAATATCAAAATTCACAAGATCAGCCTCTCTTTAATGCTTCCCATTGAAATGACATTACCCGCAGGACATAAAAAGATCAAATACCCAGCCTCTAAGAAATGGAAGGGGACATCAATCAACTAACAAAGAAATCGTTTCTTTCTTATGTGCATGACAAACAAGCAACCAAAAAATGCATGCTTGCTTGTTACACCCGTCTACAAATATAAGTTGACAATACTAAGAATACAGGAATATTATGAATCAGTTCCAGTTGGTGCGTCATTTGCAGCAGCTTGAGCTTAAAGTAGCTTCATTTGACACTCTGCATGTTCCCTTTTGCATTGACTAATTCCAATGATGATGTCCAGCATAGTGCCTTTCGTTCCAAAAATTACAAGCGGCGCCAGAGACTTGCACTTTTTCCCAACCGAAATTGCCAGCAATGCTCCTGCTACTAAGAACACCCAAGTGCCTGATGCACTACGATGAAAACTCAAATTTCAGAATAGTCTAGCAACAAAAGAATTTTGAACAAATGCATGTCAAACTGAACTGATTACAGCATCTACTTTTTTGATACCAAACTCTTTATGCTCCTATCCTGGGGCTTTAGGAGTAGAAACCGTAGCTATAGCTATAGGTTCTCCTTCTATCTCTTTTTCTAATTTCAACCTTCGCAAGAGGTGTTCATAGATGAATTATGAATACACAAGCACAGTCACTGAGTGGTGACGATTATTCAAAAGAGGCACCAACCTCGCTCTAATTCACCGCTAGTTCACCACGTTTTGTAAAGACTAATGAAAAAAGCCACATAATCTTAAAATAGAGCATGCAAAGAAGGTGAGAGTTAAGAAGCTAATAGGATAAATCTACTATTGAAGAATATCAGGATTCTTTATTCAATTCTTATATGCGCACCAAAGTAATCCATCCAAGGTTAGGGTTAATAATCCTAGTGCTTAGCACATGCCATTTCGCAATAAAGGATTACTCTTGACCACAAGCATTGTGATTTATGCTTAAAACTAAAATATGACCGGCATTTCATAAGCTGAAATTTCAACTCATGTAGGGATTTCGTGAAATGAACGACGCCTTCTTTGAGTGAAATCAATTTATTATACAATGAGAGCTTAGGAATGAGACATGTCTAATTTTGTGCAGTTACATTTTGAATTTCATATGAGGATCTACATCATGCAATATCAAGCAACGCATGTAATGTCGAGGCAATAAACTAGTAATAGATACATCTGGTCTACCTAGGATACCGAAGCCAAAAAGGGTCATGACTTCACAAGAAGTAACAGATGACATTTTTAGTCGTCAAAGGAACAAAGAAAACTAGCTACTCGTTAACAATAATAAATTCGGGATTTTGAGGGAACTGATCATCTGCCAACACATACCATCTATACAAAACTAGATTATAAGTAGAACCTATGGCTAGATCAATTTGACATACTCATTGAATAATCTATCCATTTTAAGATACAATCAGAACCTAATCTCCATATAACATATGCGAGATCGTTATTTCCTTTGTTCCTGGTGTGAAGGCAAGTACTTGTATCTTTACCCTCGCAATGGATTGATCTTTTTCAACTAGTTAATTGATTAATATGAATACATCACACTATAGATTTCAGAATCTTGGAGCAGAGATGATTAAATAAATTATTTAAAAAAGACTTAAAAAAAAAATACCTTGGATATGGAGCAGTCTTCAAGATGCTTGACATTATCTTAGCTTGCTATAGAATCATCTCCCCTTCGAAATGACTCGTTGTGGGGATGGAGCTGAGATCACCGAAAGCTAGGACTAGCGGGAAGTATTGAGTCGTAGACAATTTCTTTTTTTTTTTTTTTATAATAGTCAATTGCAGATCCCTTATATCAAGCTACAAAATTACGAAAAAGAAAATAGTTGGTAGTGGCTGAGGAAAAGTTCAAAATCAAGCATAAAACAATTTTCCTCTCCATCAAGCAAGACTCAAAAATACATTAGAAAACCTCCATTCACCACATCCCACTTCCTACCAAGTCTAGCAAAAAATACAAGGGAAAATTTCGTGTTGGTCCTACATAAGAAATTTATTTACATGCAAGTACTACAAAATTTAAAATTATAGCCATGTCTCTGAGGATTTGATTGTAATTTTTCAAATGTGAGAAAAGATCATATTACCCTTGCTTGAGAAAATGAAATTGGCGCGAAACCACAAAAAAATTCCAAAGCCCTAAACACACTTGCTGTTCGAAAACGCCAAAGTGAAGTACCACGAGATGGAAGTTGAGATTTCTCTGCCATCATTGTCTTTCCCATCTTAGATTCAACAATCTCCATCTTTCTCATTCACGGACGTCTTCGTCGTCATTTGCCTTCCTCGTCGCTCGTCTTCCTCGTTTAGGGACATCCTTGTTATTTTTCTCTGTTTGTGCTGGTTTAGGTGTATCTTCCATCTTTCGTCTTCCATCTTCCTTCCCATCTTGTCTCTCCCCCTGTCTCATGTATGTGTTCGCAACTATTATGTGATTATTTTCAGCCACTTGTTAACATATTTTTTTTAAGTTAGATGTTAAAAAATATAAAATATTTTTAATTTTTTAAAATATAATTATTATTTTTTTTAAAAAGTGTTCCTATTGATAATAATTTTATATTTATTATAGAGTATTTAATATAGATAAATATGAAAAGATAAGATTAATTTGAATGTAGATAATTATTTTATTAAAATAAAATTTAATTAAAAATATTTTATATTTTTTAATAAAGAAAGTAAGCATTATGAAATATTTAGCTTTTTAATTTTTACCCACCGATTTTGATTTTATGCCATATTCTTGTTAGGGTTTGCTTGAATGAATGAGATTTTGGCTTTTTATTTCATTTTTCTAGATTGCTTAGCTCATCAAATTTCATCTTATTTCATTATTTTTCTATTCTCATTATGATCATCTACCTTGTTTGCGTTTCGAAAATAATACAAATAGTAATATATTAAAAATTGCACTATTTGTTGCGATGATTTGACAATTTCTGCTGTACTGGAATGGCATTTGAGGTCTACCAATGTTCTATGTAATTCACGATCATTGAGATTTGAATTTTGATTGTAAATTCTTGAATATTTCAATAGAAATATGTGATTTTCATGTGTAAAAATAAGATATTTATGTGGGAGGTTGAATTTAAAAGTGTATTATTAAATATATGAAGAGATAGTTGTAAATAATTGATGAGATGATGTGAATATGAAGTCTTTATGTAACTCCCTCCTATATCCACTTGATATAAGAGAAGGTTAATTTAATCACCATACTAATCACAACAATTGGTAATAAAAAACTTTGTTTAAAAAACTTGGATCTAGGATTCATTTTGCAAAATCATCGAATCACAACATGTCAAAAAATTTTACAGTAAAAGCAAGTCACATGCATTCATATAAACTATTGCATGCTTTAAAAATTGGAAAATCAAGTTGAAGTATAGACTATATGCTGCCACGTGCAATACTTACTCTGCAACATGTAGCACAGAGCCACACACCTAGTTCTCATCTGTGTCATGTGCCATGGCACGTCAGTCCGAATTTGCTGTTGTCATTTAACAGCATAAATGACAAAATTTTGGCATGCGTTATTTTCACATATGATGTCCAATCGGAGTGATTCAAGCACCCACACATAGCCTATCACATAAGCTAACTAATGAGATGGTTTAGACATGATCTAATAATCTGATCAAAATTTGAATGTCTAGTTTAAAAAGTCACTTTTCTAAAGAATTTCACGCACTCAAGCGCTTAAATTGATCCATTTATTACATTAGATCACACAAGGTCTTGAACCAAATCCAAAAAATCTATTACACCTTATTGACCACATTATATCACAAATGTGCACGTATATCAAATTTTGGCCATTCAATAGCCCATTTTCACATTTTACAAAATTTCACCACTTAACACAAACTAGCCCACTTGAGCATTTCTATCACAAATTTACATGTATCAACATTCATAACATAATCACAATTCAATTTTAGCCTTGAATTACTCATTTTATTATAATTTCACACATTGGTTAAGATTCACTAAAAACTCACAAAATTCATTACAATTTCTATACTTTCAACAAAACACAACTCAACCATGCATGCAATCTCCTATGGTAACTTATTTACATAAATATTCTCAAGTTTTGATTCATTACATAATACTCTGAGTTCATATAGTTTCAACAACTTTAAGTCAGTCCTAACTCTTTTTCCTTACCATGATCACTACTTTGTCCTATGAAAATGTAATCACGGGAGTGAGATAATGTCAATAATGAAATATCTCACTACTATTGACTATCACGCACAACTATATAAAAGTAAAGCATAATATATATTTCAATATAGCACACAGTACATATCACATATTTTATTTCAAATTACAACAATATGCGTCAACTCACTTCTTTTACCACTATAATCACCACTTTTTACTACTTTTTCATATGTACAATATATAGCATGATTACTACCTTCTAAATCTTTAAATTACTTCAACTTGAAACCATAAGTTTGCCTTGGACTAATATACACTCTCATTGACCCTGAGCCTACCTTCAGTGATAGAATTACCCGATCAAAGGTGTTCTAACTTACTTTTGGACTATGATTTTTCTCAATACATATAATGGGGTGTCGTTGACTCTAACACTATATCACACAAAACACTAATGAGTCTTAAATCTTTAACACCGCACCTCAATAGGTACTAAGGAGATCATCTCCAATACCGCATCTCAAAAGACATTAAGGAGAATATGCCATATGGTTTTATCACCATACTCCACATGGGTAAACTCCCACCCCAATGATCATGCTTTTGAACCATTCTCAAGTTTTCAATCACCACTTTACTCATTATATATATACACACATTTCCATATCAAATTACAAAATTTCATTACTTATTTAACCAAAATTTCTTTTATACAATAAACATTCAATGCTACAAAACATTCTCATTTCAAAATAATTTCATGCATTACATTGCATACTCACACACAGTTACAACAAATAGTCAAACAAAGGAAGTTATTCGGTTACCTCAATTTATGTCGCTAAAAAAGTTACCTGTGAATTTCAGCTACCACTATAGCTTATCATAAGCTTCCTTTCTCAACTCAAATGCGTGATATGCCAATCTAAATGCAATTGGCATAATTTAGTCAATTGATCTAATTTGACCAAAAGCACATAATTACTAATTATGGCTGCATTTAGCCATTTATTCTTTTCCATTTATTTGTTGTCGCACCTGGAAATGCGACACGGATAGTGCGCGAGCGGAGGTTTTGGCCTTCACAGTGGGAACATGATGGAATGGGGGTCACCACCAAAATTTTGAGGAAAATCTTGGGAAACCAATTAAAGGAGGATAATGATGGTCTGCAAAAATAAAAAATAGGTTCGAGAGTTGATTGAGTGTGGAGAAAGTGTTAGACACCCCACAATACTTGTTTGTCATAATGGTTACCTGAAATTTATTGTGCTATATTAATAAGGATTTAAAATTATTTTAATTATCCCTTTTATATTCATGTATTTGATATAAAAATGATAGAAGTAGGTGAACAATATTTATTTATTTACGAGGGAGAACTTGACTTGAAATCTGACTCTGAGGCCTACTTACCCTGTGATGGGAATCACAGCCCACATAATTCGGGCTAAAGACTAGTGTCAATGGTTTTCTTTATTTATAATTTCCATAAAAAGAGAAGTTTAAATGAAAATAACTTATCAATTGCAGATAAAATAATTTTCTAAGATGTGCTGTGTTTTAATTTACAAAGATAATTTGGTTTCACTTTCTTACTCCCATTTTATATTTTGAAAATATTTTTATTATTTTGCTTTCTCTTATTTTAAAGATTCACCTTGTCAACATAAAAAAGTAATTTAAAAAAAAGAAATTTCTAATATGCCTACAGAGATTTATTGTCACTCGTGGACATTCAAATGACCTTAATGCTTTTTTTAAAAAAATTCTATATTTTCTTTACGATATAAAATCTTAGATTATCTACACAATATTTTTATTTTAATATGTCTTTTTTATATATTAAAAAATTATTCAATGGCCACATGCAAACTATAATAAAAAAAAAGTATTTATTATATTATTATTTACAATATTATTAATAACCACAACATCTGCAAGAACTTATTATCCTTCACAATGAGGCGATTAAGCTGAATATCTTTGGATATTTTTTAAATCTCTCGCGATACCCTTCAAATGTTTTAATTGATTATATTTGTGAAATAATATGAACAAACTTATTCATTTAACCACACATTTAAAATCCCCATATGAAAATGATGTCATTTAAAATCAAAATTATCTTCAACATTTACTTAATTACTATCAAATGGAAATTAAATACAAAATAATGTATGACTTTGAGAAATAAAGAAATAGAAATCAAATTTAAATTGATTAATACTCTTTCATGCTAGAAGACAAACTTGAATCTAATTTATCACTTAGCTCAACAATAAATTTTTTCAAATGTTAGAATCGAAAGCATCATGGGAAAGTATTATAACTAAATCAACCTCATTTGTAAAAGCAAATAAATACATGTTAGAGCATATTTAAGGTATATAACATAATTTAGAGAAAGAAAACACAATGATACAAAGCTACTTTCTCTTCAAATATTTTCCTAAATATTCCCTATCCATACTTAAACTTTCAAAACTTCTAAATTTCCTTATTTAAAATATGAGGAGTTATCATCAAGGATCCCTTTCATGGCAAAAATCTACACACATATTTGCTGCAAGAGTTTAGAACGGGGATGTGATAAAACAAAAACAAGTATAGCGCACTAATGGCAGAGCAGAGAAGGGAGAAAAAAAATAGCAACTCAAACTTCTTACAGTGAAGGAAACAAATCTAGCATACCCAAAGAAAAACACGTAGAAGGAGTGAAAGATAAGAGAGCCAATAACCGAAAGGGGAGTTTGAATCTCAGCTCACAGTTAGCTCCCAATCACACTTCTAAACCGAAATGCTGCTCTTTCCTACATGCAAGATGCGGCCTTCGTTCTTTTTACACAGAGAAAAACTTCTCCTCCTTTTCCTCTCATCCCCCCTTCTTTCCTTGCACGAGTGCTCTCTTTTATGGCTGAAGCTCCCCCTTCCTCTTGCCGTGCACTTCTCCTTCTCCTTTTCTCTAAGTTTCTGTTTACGTGTGTTTACGTGAATCTGCTCTCTCTCTCTTTTTCTATGTTTTCCTCTGTCTTCTTTGCTCTCTGTATTTCTCTTTTGCTCGTGCGTCTCTGCTATGCAGCTGAAAGATTATCTTTCTCCCTCTGCTCTCTGTGTTTATCTTCTTTTCTACCTTCCTCATTTTCAATCGAAAAGTGTGGTGCTCTTTCTTTGCGTTTTTGCATGACTGCCTTTCTGCTCTGTTCTGTGTTTT